ATTATTATTCGTTCCGATATATGTATTTCGTATTTTATTATATATTTCTTAATATTTTTAAATTTTTTAACCACACACAGGTTTGTAACCTCAGTGGGATTTTGAATTTATTCTCAAATCACTTAAAATGCTATTAATTGTTATTCTTACATTCTAAGTCTTAAAATAAATAGTATGTATGGTTTCCATTTCATATTTGAGAATAAAATGATTTGATTTGAAATGATTTTGAATTAATGTCGTGATATAACGTCAAGAAGTAGCGTGTTATATAACTGATAAATAAACAGAGTAGCCAACTCAGAAAAAAAGCATGTGCCCTAATGAAATCGTTATCCGATATGGTTGATTGAGTCGATTTTGAAATTTGCTGTTTGAGGGGACTTCGGAGTAGGAATCCCAAGCTTTTTGAATTCCATATATCTGTAATCTAAAATTGAAATAAGGAAAACTGGGTCTTCGTTAATAATACTTTGACAATAGTGCAACTTTTATGTCACATAAAAGTTACATTATACAAGCACATACCTATAAATTATGTATATGTGCATGTATGTAATATCGAATAAATAGTGAATGTGTGAATGTCATTATCTCTATCAACTTATTCTCAATACTACCAACCTATTTCTTCTTCTAATTTTTTTGTAGACCCATTTCAGCTAAAGAATCACTGGTTGATTCCCCTTCCTTTTGTAATTCGGCCATTCTACTATCTTCGACTGCCCCAGTCAAGTCAGAAATATCTGTAAATAAAAAGTGGTTTTAGTCCACTATAAATTTTTCCAATTACTTTGAGTCGTGAGCATACACACGAATTCAATCTAGATACCGCATTGGCCTGATCAGGAAAAATCACTCTCGAATGTCTTGAGAAACATCGATGAACGTCTCGAGAAAATTCAATCTTCTGAACGAAAATCTAGAAGTCATTCTCTGATTTGCGGATCATCAATCTCAAATGTCTGAAGAAACCTCCATATCTAGGAACTTTAATGCAGAGATAATACGGCATGTTCTGAGAACATCACACTCAAGTCTTGGTGAATTCCAAATATCTAAAAGCTCGAACACCTGAAAAAACGTCAATCTGGACATCCAACTGACTCGACATTATTTGAGGAACATCAATTTTGAATATCTGGAGGAACATCAATCTCGAACAGTACTGGAAACTTCAGTCAAGAAGTCATGATGACATGATCTGTTAAATGTCTTGAGAAATATCTGTCGTAACCATCTGTAGGAACGTCAATTTAGAAATTATTGTCTGATTTGAGGAAAATCAATCTGAAATGTCTGGAAAAACATCCGTTTCTAGCATATTTGAGAACTTATCTAGATATCGAACTGTTTTGGAATAGTTCTTTGATTGGATAAACATCAGTTTTGGAAGTCTGGGGGGCATCTATCTCGAGAATATCTACGTACTTCCATCTAGATATGGAACTAGCAGGAATTGAGGAACATCTAATGTACTAACATGATTTGAGAAACATCTTTCTCAAATGTCTGGAGGGGACATTCATCCCGAAAATATCTAGGAATTTCAATTTAAAAATCTAACTGGCAGGAATTGAGGAACATCCATCATACTTACATGATTTCGGCAACATCAGTCTTAAAAATCAGGAGGGTATCTATCTCGAGAATATCTACGTACTGGCACGAATTGAAGAACATCCAATGTACCAACATGATTTGAGGAACATCACTCAAATGTCTGAAAGACATCCCTCCCGAAAATATCTAGGAACTTCAATGTAGAAATCGAACTGGCAGGAATTGAGGAACAACCATCATACTAACATGCTTTAACTAACACCAGCCTCAAATGTCTGGAGGAACATTCATCTCCAGGGTCTCTAGGAACTTCAATCTAGATATGGAACTGGCAGGATTTCAGGAATATCCAATGTACTAACATGGTTTGAGGAACATCACTCTCAAATGTCTGGAAGGCATCCATCTAGAAAATATCTAGGAACTTCAATCTAGAAATAGAACTGGCAAGAATTGAGAAACATCTATCGTACTAACATGCTTTGACCAACACCAGCCTCAAATGTTTGGAGGAACATTCATCTCCAGCGTCTCTAGAAACTTCAACCTAGATATGGAACTGGCAGGAATTGAGGAACATCCAATGTACTAACATGATTTGAGGAATAGCATTCTCAAATGTCTGGAGAACATTCATTTCGAAAATATCTAGGAACTTCAATCTCGAAATAGAACTGGCAAGAATTGAGGAACATCCGTCGTACTAACATGCTTTGACCAACACCAGCCTCAAATGTCTGGAGTAACATTCATCTCCAGGGTCTCTAGGAACTTCAATCTAGATATGGAACTGGCAGGAATTTAGGAACATCCAATGTACTAACATAGTTTGAGTAACAGCACTCTCAAATGTCTGGAAGGCATCCATCTAGAAAATATCTAGGAACTTCAATCTAGAAATAGAACTGGCAGGAATTGAGAAACATCTATCGTACTAACATGCTTTGACCAACACCAGCCTCAAATGTCTGGAGGAGCATTCATCTCCAGCGTCTCTAGGAACTTCAATCTAGATATGGAACTGGCAGGAATTGAGGAACCCAATGTACTAACATGATTTGAGGAACAGCATTCTCAAATGTCTGGAGAACATTCATTTCGAAAATATCTAGGAACTTCAATCTAGAAATTGAATTGGCAGGAATTGAGCAACATCTATCGTACTAACATGCTTTGACCAACCCTAGCCCCAAATATCTGGAGGAACATTCATCTCCAGCATCTCTAGAAACTTCAATCTAGATATGGAACTGGCAGGAATTGAGGAACATCCAGTGTACTAACATGGTTTGAGGAACAGCACTCTCAAATGTCTGGAGGACATTAATTTCGAAAATATCTAGGAAACTTCAATCTAGAAATTGAAGTGGCAAGAATTGGGGAACATTAATCGTACTAACATGATTTCGGCAACATCAATCTCAAAAATCTGGAGGAACTTTACTTTAAGTGATGTTTAAGGTCGATTGAGGATGTTGATGGCCGGCAAATATTTCACTACATCTCGACCGCTTTTAAATGCACCGGACCACTCACAGACACGTGTTTTTGATGAAGTCGATTCACCGCAAGACTCATGCAAAACTTTCAGCGCTCCCTAACAAGAAATTCCATTTGCAATGCAAAATTCAAGAAAACTTTTTTGTTTGTTATCTTTATCCATTGTAAAAATTGCAAAACACGTTTGAAGTTAATTAACAAATTGAGTACTGTAAACAAAGTAATTAACATATGGCGCTCAAACTCCGCATGAGTATAGAGGACAGTTGTGCCAACCTAGCCACAAAAATAATTTCGGCGGTCCCTCCACGCGAGCTCTACAAATAATAGAGTCTCGAAACTTTTTTGAAAGAATGTACTACTATTGTAGACCTAGGGTGTAGGGTGTATACCTAGGGTGTAGGGTGTAGACCTAGCCTTTTTGTATCTGCCAAAAATCGACCATACCTGTTTATTTTATATCATATTTCGACATTAGGGGCTTGATCGACTATCTCCACCTGAAGCCAGCCGTCATCACGTCATTCTATCCGAAGTTGAGGGCTAACCTGACTTCTTGGAGGGCAAAGGCGCTGTGGAAGAAGTTCGATGCTCGGGCTTCGCACAAATGCTACCAGAAGGGGAAATTAGCGGCCGGCACCAGGGTCCTGATCATCGGCGGAGGACCCTGTGGTATGAGAGCAGCCATTGAAGCACAGCTGCTTGGCGCTAAAGTGGTAAGTGTTCCATTATTTTTTATGGTGATACACAAGCAGACAAGCACTATAGGACAATCTTAAATGGCTGGAAATAGGCATGATTTTGAATGATCGTTATTTAATGATGAGAAATAGTCTGTAATTACAACATATGTCATATTTCCGCAAAAGTTCAGTGTTACGGTTCCCAAAATGCAAGAGCGGATTTATAAGATAACCGAAAAGTAATGTATTGAAATCATATATGCACAGCATCCACCCTGTATAACATTCAAAACAATTCAGTTCAGTTTTTTGTGCCTAAAGACAATCAGAATAATTCGACCTTGAATAACGTTGATAGGGAAAAAAAAAGGAAAGGAAAAAGAAAAGGGTTTTTTCTCTGGTAATGAGAGTTGAGTTTGGTTATCTTCTCTGGAACAAGAATTTTGAGCTCATCACTTTGTGGATTTGGAGAAACCAAAATATTCAATACGGGAATAACTATATTTGGGTTATCTAAAGGAATAACTCGCCCACAGTATTGGGGATTTTTATTAAGTACCCGTTCTCTTGTCAAATTCCAATCTTCAGGCCACACAACAACTACGGTAAGAACCCACTTCCCGAAAATACCGTAAAGGGTATATCCTTCTAAACCTTAATCTCATTTTAGGCCTTCTTATTACCATCTCAAGTCGATATTGTGAACTATATCCTGGTGTATCTCTCACAAGGCTAGACCACTACATCCCTTATATCTCTGATTACGGTCTTCCGAGGAGCAAGTTATCTGCATGGAAAAGATCATTGCCTGAGTGGACTGCGTACAGGGTTAGGATCGTGCTGCTGGAGACTATTCTCCCATATCCCATGCATGTAAGGTCTTCCTGTTATGTATTACACCCTCCCGCACGACCTCGAATCAACATTGCGGCACAAATTGCAAATTCTAGAAGGAACCAAGTATTTACCACACCTTAAGTTTAATCATAAGTTGCTTACTTTTATATCTGTGAACCCAAAAGTATACTTCTGGGCCATAAGCCTGTAGTCACCACAAGCTTGGCGTGGTTGAAGAAACAATACACTTATCCTCCAAGTGGACTTATATTTACCCACCATCCCTCTCCGCTGAGTTCCGGCAGCCCATAATTTAGTTCCTAAGTAACAAAGTAACCCGTTTCAATCTACGACAACGAAGGTTACATCAGTATAAAATAAAATTCATCAGTTCAAAATTTGTACCAGAACACTTCAAAGTGTCATGGCGTCGTTTGTGACGTCACGTTCGACTAGACTACATGTGAATACTAGATGCTCTTCCATACATTTGGTGATAACTATTATTGAATATGAATTCAAAAGTGTATCGTTTGTGTGCACTCCCTCAGAGTACTTATACATCACTAAAAACTCCGAACTAGGTATTTGTGTTCCGCTTGTACAAAATAACAACACGAAATAAGTGTTTCAAACTTACAAGACTAGATTCAACGGGAATATTGCCCAGAACTCAGCTTTATTTTTGTGAAGATGACTTTGACGAAAGTATTACCCTAAACTTGTAAATTATGAACCAGTATTATCTTGGTCGAGGATTCAATTCAATAATTAACAAACTTTTTTGAGGTTAGGTTTCATTTCTCGTATCTTTCACTGTGAACAGATTTCCTTCGCGTTTTAATTGTACGTAACTTATTGCATCATCGCCATAGGACGCCCTGAAGGACCTGCAATAAATAAATCAATGTATTTAGAAATATAATTTCAATAGTATGACCATTAATATTAAACAAGTTTCTTTCAAAGGCTTTGGAGTTATCCTTATTATTTGTTCTAGAAAGATTATCATTGTACTGACATGGAAGTTTTAACATTTCTGAATTCTGTCGTACAAACTTCTTTGCTTGATGCCAGAAACTCTCCCAGAATCAAAAAGTCGCTGTTTTAGCCTTGTTAAATCCTGGTTCCATGGCTCACGTTATTTCACTTTTGATCTAAGAACACAGCAAAAGAAAAGTCACTGTAAACAATTTCAAGTCTTAAATAAAATCAGAGAAAACTAGCGTCGAGTATTCGGTCGGTCTAAAGTGAGTGGGTCTATTCGACCCTCCACCGCAACCCACAAGGGTTTATTGTGGCTCACACTCGGCCAAATAAACACAGCTTCTTAACGAAGCCGATTAGTTTGTATGGTGAGTGGTCTTTCAGGTCAGATGGTGAGAATACGGATCTGCCGAACTCTAAGAACCTGATTCGGCCCCCAGCGGGGCAGACACAAAGTATATGCTCTGCTGTTTCATCATTTTTCAGACAGAGGCGACACACACACTGTCGGAAGACAGTGTGTGTCGCCTGTGTGAATAAACGCCTTGGAGTGAGCCTATCCTGGAAGATTCTGTCAGAAGTCCATGAATCTTCTTGCCATCCAGGTGTTCAGTGTTTGTTTGGCAAAGCCCAAAGCGAGGCCGATGACAGGTTCTGGTCCGATGAAGCCGCTTGCAGCACCCTCCTTTGCAAGAGAGTCAGCAGCTTCATTGCCTTCCAGGCCATGATGGCCAGGAATCCAGACCAAATAAAATCTGTTAAGTCTTCCTTTCGAGGAGAGTCTTTTTTGGCAGTTTGCTACCAATTTACACGTTGCTCGGTAGGAAGCAAGAGCTTCCGACGCCGCTTGATTGTCCGAGAATATTTGTATTGACTCGTGAGTGAGGTTGGATTTATCCAATCTCTCCGCACACAATTCAGTAGCGTAAATTTCCGCTTGAAATACAGTCGCATGAGTTCCTAGGCTGGTAGATAACTCAGTTCTGGGTCTGCGACTAAAAACACCAGAACCGGAAGGTGTTTTTGATCCATCTGTGAATCAACAACAATCTGCTCTTAATATTTCCTTCTTCCGGAGGATCCAGTTCTCTCTACTCGGAAATAGTACTTTATAAGGCAGTTCGTAGTTGATAGTTGGAGGCATAAAGTCAGAGGTCATTTCCAGAATGCTGTGACTTCCAATGTCAACCAACAGTCCACCTAGCCTCTCTCTCTCTCTCTCCAGAAAAACGGGAGAGGAGGTAGATCTAGAAGGATCTCCATAGCCGCTGACGGTGTGGTACTGATGGCACCACTGATAGCCAGACAAGCCTGTCTCTGTAAGCCAGAGAGCTTCGCTTGGGCCCTTTTCTGTAAAGCCTTCGGCCACCAAGCAATTGCACCATAAGTGATCATTGGTCTGACAATCATCACATAAATCCAATGGATTTGTTTGGGACCTAAACCCCAAGTTTTACCATAAATCCTTCGACATGTCCATAGAGACAGTCTGGCTTTATGTAAAACTTTTTTCAAGTGAGCGTTCCAGGTGAGTCTTTTATCAAGGAAAATGCCAAGATATTTCATCTCCGTTCCAAATGGAATGACCACACCATTGAAGAAAAGTGGTTTTAGATCGTCCCATTTTCTCCTTTTGGTGAAGGGGTTTGCTGGGGTTGACAGACATCTGCTCCCTCAGGCACCAACTGTGAACAACGTCCAACGCGCTTTAGAGGATATTACAAGCTACCCTTCCCGACGTGGACTTTGCCAGGATGACAAGGTTATCTGCATAAGCTTGCAGATCGACTTTTCTTCTGTCGAGGGCATCAAGCAGACTATCCACCAGGAGCGACTACAGATGGGGAGATAGTACCCCACCTTGAGGGCAGCCCCTGGTGACCCTGAACCTGATAGCCACGCCTTGAAGAGTCGTAGTTGCAGTTCTGTTTACTAGCCACTTATGGTCGATTCTATACCCTTTCTAGCCAGAGACAATCCTATAGATTTAGGTAGCGCATTGTCAAATGCTCCTTCAATATCAAGAAATACAGCGACCGTAATCTCTTTGTCAAGGGTATTACTGTTGTATTATACAATATTTCATTTTCATTTTTTTACTCTAACGTGACGTAATTCGCTCTGATTGGCATTCAAGATATCATGACGTCTTTCCGTATTCGCAAGTGACCGTCAATAGATATCTCTCGAATAATTTTACCATCAACGCTGGTGTTCCCCAGGGATCCGTATTGTCTCCTACCCTCTTTTTATTGTATATCAACGACTTATTGGAAAAAAACCAAGAATCTTATATATTGCTTCGCTGACCACAGCACACTTTTTATTCCATTTGGATTCCATGACATCAGTTGTGGATGTACATCTTCACCGGCAGTAGGAGGTTGCATATCTTAGAGTAGAGTACTTTATTTGACCATTTTACATACAGTTGTACATTTATGGCAAGTCACAAATACATAAATCCTTGATCAGAGATAAAATTCATCTGCTATGAAATATAAGTAAAGAATATAAGTATAAATAAAATCATAAATATAAAATCTTTTAAATATGTCGCTAAAATTAAAATGTAGGTAAGTTGATTTAATGAGGCCTTTCGTAAGTTAAAGATCCCGCCATTTCAATATATTCCTCTATATTATAGAAACAGTGTTGGAGGAGAAAGCTTTTGAAGTAAGTTGATGTAATGAGGCCTTTCGGGCACCTAAACACACTTATCGAGTTACTTGAATGACCCTAAATGAGAATACCATAAGAAATAACTGAGTGAAATAATCCGTAGTAGCGTCATCAAGGTGACCACATCGTGCAGACGCCTTAAAACGAACAAAACAGTAGAAAGTTTGCTGAGCATAGCTTTAATATGATCAGACCAGCTCAATCTATGATCAATAGTGAATCCTAAAAACTTAACACTTTTAGATTGGGGAATATTGTGATTGGAAGATACGATTATATTTTGAGTTTTAGCTTCATTCAAGGTGAGTTTGTTAGCAGCAAACCAATTGTAAGCTAATGTTTTGCTATCTTCCATCATTAGTTGTAAGCTAGTTAAGTCTTTACTAGAGCATGCAAACAAGATACAACATACTGGTTTCATGAGACTGCCTGGGTCATTGATGTAGATCAAGAACAATAGTGGACCTAAAACGGATCCCTGAGAAACACCATGCTTCATTTCTTTGAGGTCTAACTTTACGTTGTTCAATCCAACAAATTGGCACCGATTTGTTAGATAAGATTGGACGAGCTTGAGAGCTGTGCCCCGGACACCATAGTAGCTCCTTTTGTCAATCAAAATACTATGCGATACACAATCAAATGCCTTAGTCAGGTCACATAATGTCAAAGAAGAGTGCTTTCCCTGATAAGACCTTCGACTATGTTCGAAACTAATTTAAAAGCCGCTTGGGTAGTTGACCTATTTCTTCGAAAACTATACTGTGAATTGTTGAGGTAGAACCGTTTTTCAAAATATAAATGAAAGCGATTTTTCAAAATTATCTCAATTACTTTCCCAAATATAGGTATTATGCTAATTGGGCGATAATTATCCGGTGAAGATCTAGAACCTTTTTTGAATAAGGGTATTACTCTCGAAATTTTAAAAACGTCTGGAAATATTCCAGTTGAAAAGATTTCGTTTATTAGTAATGTTAGTGGAGCTGCGATTATATCAGCCACCGATTAAATCATTTGGCTATTTAGGTCGTGTGTATCGCGACAGTTGCTGTTTTTAAGAGACTTTATCGTATCATATACTTCTTGAGGACAGACAGGGTCCAGAAAAAAAGTTTCGCATGGCGAGGGAAAGTTTTTGTAGTTATTTATTTCATTGATCGAAAGATCAAGAAGAGCTTTAATAGTATTATCAGCTATACTGCAGAAAAAGTCATTGAAGCATTGTGCTGATAGCTCTACTGGTTTAATTGCATTAATAGGGTTCTAGAAGTGATTTCGAATTGGGTGGAAGTAACCAGGTTCAATTCAATGGCAAAAAACCCAGGCATTGGTTTTCTCCAAAAAGATAAATATATCCGAACCGGATATAATAATGTCAGGACAGACAATTCGACTTTCTGCTTCGATAACTTTGTTGGGGGTTAAAATAGACACCAATATGTCCTATCACAATTATGTCGCTGGTATTGCAAAGGCTGCTTCTCAAAACCTTGGAACACTGTCACGGACCAGAAAACTGTACAGCTCAGCAACTTTTGATGCTTTATAAAGCTCAGATCAGACGTTCTTTGGAGTATTGTTCTTATATATGGAGTTCCGTCCCTATGAAGACCCTGAAACTGCTGGATTCCATCCAGCCTGATTGGAGTCTGGAACATCGAAGAAATGTTGTAGATTTGTCTCTCTTTTATAGATACTTTCACAGGATGTGTTCAAGTGACTTGACACATGTGATTCCACCAAGAGCGGTACATATCTGTGGATGTGGCTGCTCATCGTTTTAAGGTTCAACTCAGTACACCTCGAACCCACGCGGACGTCGCGTGGGTTCGAAATAAATTTGTATGCGTATCAAACAGATGTAGTCAAGAAAAAATCTAATATTGCTCTACGAAATACTCCCTGAGGTAGAGTCCAATCTAAATCTACCAGTCGTAGCATGGTCGTAGCATGGTCACCTACTATGCCTAGTCTGCCGTGACGGCGTGTCTTTCTGCCTGAACTAGTTATAACCACAGAAAATTCAAATCTCTCGCCACAATGTTCTGAGATGCAGAAGCGTGCGCTCTGATTATGCGTGACAGTTTGAGGACGCTACTTGACAATTTGGTACACTCTGATTGGTTCGCCGATGGGTAGGACACCACGTGACAATTTGGTTGACTGGATGGTCTGTATGCCTTGCTGGGAAACAACCTGGCTGGTGTAATGACGTCACCGTCTGTCTGTCTCGCTTAGTCCAGACCCCTCCTACTCGTGTGTATAATTTTTTTCATATATAAATTTTATACACATGTTTTTCTTCTCTTTTACTCATTTTCACTGCCTGCCCTAAAGAAGCTTCCCAGTGAGAAGCGAAAGCTTGGCAAAGTAAAGCAGAGTTTTAATTTATGATTTTCGAATGAGAGACCCGTCAATCCATTTTCCTAGATATATTTATATACTCTTATGTATATTTCCATATATTTTCATATGAAAAAGATATCCAAAGGGACTAAATCATTGTTTTATAATATTCGTAAAATTTCAACATTTTTTTTTGTCTAATCTAGCAGCGTATACAAAATTATTATTCGTTGAAAAACAATGGCATGTGATCGATAGCTAACATTTTTCAAGCTATAAAATTGTATCATATATCATGCGATATTTATTGTATCTCGAAAAAGGTAAAGTGACTTGCAACATTATAAATCATCTAGTTCGGTATGATCAGAGGCGGTATACCACGCATTTTCATATATCAGAAAATAACCGGAATGTAATAGTAATTAACTGCCAAAATCACTTTACTGGCTCCCTATTCCAAACAAATCCAGCCGTAGATACAGTATGATTGAAATAGTGAGTAAATTGGTTTGAAATAGTTATTAACAGAAGTGTATCTGGGGAATTGATTATATATGTAACTGTAGCTGAAACTTCAATGATTCTTTGATTGAAAACTAAAGCGTTTTAAATTATATAACGCAGATGTCAATATTTTCCTGGTGTCTATTTCCCAGTTTGCAGTGGCGTATCACCATCGATATTTTTAGCACAAAGCATATTGAAGCATACATACATACATCTTTTAATATGAACAATTATAGACATCGTATCTTATAATGAAAAATAACAGTTGAAGATGTGTATCTATGAATATTACAATTAATGGTGGATCTTTTCATATTGCCTGAAAACAGCCATCATCATTCTCTATTCAAAACTGTTATCGCTTTCAAGTTTATTGCAACAATTAAGATAAAATAAATTAAAATTATGTTTGAAAAAATCTGTTTAAAATCTGTTTTTCCGTTAACCGAAATTCGATAAAATACACTCAGAAACTAACATGTAATGCAAAACGTAATTAAATGTAGTATATAATAAAGAACTATGGATGTTAACAAAGTAAATGTACCAAATGTTCACCGCGAACGTCTCAACAACATCCTAATCTCAAATAAAACTATTTTGTAACATTATTTAACATATCAGCCGTGACCGACCTAATGGCAAGCGTTATTCGTTCTTTTAAGTCATTCAAATCTGAAGGTTCAGTTTCGTACACATTGCTCTTTACATATCCCCATAAAAAGAAATCTAACGATGAAAGATCAGGTGATCGCGCTGGCCATTCAATCAATCCTCGCCTCCATATCCACCGATTGGGAAATGTTGTATCGAGGTATTGCCGGACATTAACTTAATGTGGTGGTGATCCATCCTGCTGAAACCATATCGTATTCACTGGAACTTTAAGGGTTTCCTGGATCAGGATATAAATTTGCTAAACTTAAAATGACATCATTTTGAAGTAGTGCCAAATAATAATCGCCACTCAAGCTGCCCTCAATGAAAAGAGACCAATGATATGGTTTCCTACAATTCCTGCCCAAACATTAACCTTTTGAGGGTATTGCGTGTGTTCTTCACTCATCCAGTGAGGATGAGTAGCGGAAATTTTGCCGATTAGCATGACCATTAAGAGACAAAGTACACGCATCAGAAAAATAACGTCTTCTAATTGGATGATATTGTTATCCAACATGTCCATCATTTGCTCACAAAAATAAGTTCCTCTATCAAAATCGTGTTTCATGAGCTCCTGAGTAGGTATCATTTTATAGGGATGCATTTTATTTCCTTTTAATATATTTACTATCGATGTATGGCTAACATTGAATGTAGTGGATGCCTGTCTACTCGATGTATGTGGGTTTTCTTCAAACTCAAGCATCACATCTAATTTGAGTTCATCACTCATTGTATTGGCGGCTGATTTTTTATCTGGCCCACATGATCAAGCTAGCGAAACTGCTTCTCTATTTTACTTATTGTTCCTTGAGATATGGGCGGTAAATTAGGAAATTTCTCATGAAATAGGCGAGCTTCTTCCTGTTATGTTCGGGTTTTATCTCCGTAACCAATCATTTGTAAAACTGTTATTTTATGCATTTCCGTTAATCTAACCATTTGTCAGACTTGAAGTTAACGAACTTTAAACTTAAATTAAAATACTAACAACTGATGTTGTAACATACAAAACAAGTTGACAAGGCGTTTAAAACTAACGTTGCCATGGAAATTATTTACAGTTTTTTAAAGGATACCATCTAAAAAGAACATTGCTATGGTTTTTGCTTACTTTCTTATCATCATTACCTCAACATGAAATAAGTTTTGAGTATATTGTAATAAGTTTTGAGTGTATTTTATCGAATTTTGGTAACCACATGATTTTAATTTATTTAATCTTAATTGTTGCAATAAACTTGAAAGCGATAACATTTTTGAATAGAGAATGAAGAGTCCTTCCAAAAATCCAAACGATGTATCACAGGCCTATACTTCCCATGTAAAAAATTAGGGATTGTACCTGTCATTCGACGGGGGTTGAAAGTAGGGGTAGTATTTTTTCGTTGAAGTATGTCAAATTATAATTTAAATTTGACGTGTTTCGGGATTTTGTTAAGATATGTACCGTATTTTTCAACTGGGAAATAACGAGTATTCTTATTATTTACATTTCTTATATTTTGTCACCACAATAAATCATTTTCAATTGTTTCAGGTGGTCGTAGAAAAACGCGACAGGTTCTCCAGGAACAACGTGTTGCACTTGTGGCCGTTCGTCATCGAGGATTTGAGGATGCTCGGCGCAAAAAAGTTTTTTGGTAAATTTTGCGCGGGCGCAATCGACCACATTAGTATAAGACAATTGCAATGCATTTTAATGAAAGTCGCCTTGCTGTTAGGGGTCGAAGTGCACACCGAAGTCAGCTTCGAGAAGCTCATAGAACCGAGTGCGACACAGAGTGAGTATATTTTTTCAAGAGGCATTTCACTTTCTTTTATTAAGCTCGCTCGATTTTATAACAGAAAGAATGATTTTATTATGTCTATCAATATCATCCTGCCCAATTGAATTCCGCCTTCGAATTTGGTGACCACCACAATAGATCTAAGGAATTAGACAAATGCAAAACCGTTCTCCGTCAATATGACTATACCGACTTCTGAATCCAAAGATTTATCCAGCTCCAGCAAACCCATACTCCACATCCCCAACAGTTCTATAACTAGACTGGTAATACAAAAACTTTTTTTACCTATATTCGTGGAGTTGCAACAGTCAAACAGCAATCAAATTTCCGCTTTTTTCCGAAAAGTCTAAGGACACGATACCAAAAAAGGCATAGGGCATATGCAAAATACCATTTTTCACCTGCTGCAGAAGTTCCTCGGGTCAGACCAATGTACGAGTTTTCTACAGAGCCTATGATCATGAGCTAGCACCTACTTGAAATAGGCCACACAATAAACAGATTTAAACACAATAAGCTTCAAAAACACCAAAACCATTGCCACCGAAAAAAAAAGATTATTAGATTATTGGCTGTGAAAACTGTTCTTATGTCGTTCCTCTTTAGAAGTCGGAGTTCCATGATTATGGAAGAAAAAGTTTTTGGGTGGTTCGTCTGTTCATAAGGCATACTACACACTCCGAACTGTCCGATGAACGAGGCACGAAATAAAAACAATATTCATGGTAAACAATCAAATCTTCATATTTTTACGAACGCCTAAGAACACGATACCTAATAATGTACAGCGCTCTCTAATAATGTAAACCGCTCTCTTGAAGGTGATTGATGACATTGGGAAAGCCAGGGATAAATCATATATCTCACTCTTGGTTTTACTCGATCAAAGCAAAGCCTTCGATTTGGTTAATCACAACTTATTACTTACCAAACTCAAGTATATCGGCTTTGACAATTCAACACTGAATTGGATGTCTAGTTACCTCACTGGTCGAGCTCAGAGAGTGAAACTTGATCAAAATATGTTATGCTCCTCTTTTAGGGAAACCTGTTCGGGTGTTCCTCAGGGGAGTATTCTTGGCCCTCTTATGTTTTCGATTTTTATTTTCGATTACCATTCTTTTATAACTAATTGTCATGTTCATCTATATGCAGATGACTTTCAGTTATATTTATCTTTTAAACCCGACGATATAGAAAATGGCATTACATTCATAAATGAGGATCTTCAAAATACTTCAATCTACTCAAATAATCATGGGTTGAAAATTAATCCCACTAAAACAGTCGCCTTATGCTTAGGATCTCAAGCACAAATCACTTATGTACAAAGAAACCATACGCTTGCCTTAAATAACTCTGAAATAAATTGGGTGGATTCTGCAAGAAACTTAGGTGTCATTGTAGATAACACTTTGACTTTCGATGACCATGTGAGAAGTATATGTAAAACTTCGTTTTTCAAGCTAAAAAACTTGTACAAATTTAAATTTCAACTTTCCTCTGACACGAAACTCAAATTGGTCAAATCACTAATTTACCCTCATACTGATTATTGTTGCATGGTGTATTACAACTTCTTACCAGAATATAATAAAATGAAATTGCAACGTTTACAGAATACATGCATGCGATTCGTTTGTTGCATACCGTATAGAGAACATGTTACGCCTTACATAATGAATATGAAAGAGTTGAACGTTAAAGCTTGGGTAAAATATTTCACTTGTTTATTCTTGTATAATTTGTTGAAAACCAAAATTCCTTTTTACTTGTTTCGTTCATTAAACAGAAGGTGTGACATTCATACAGTAAATGTAAGAACCGATTCCTTCTGTGTTCCTCAGCACCTAACTACAAAATTTGAAGGTTGTTTCTCATGTTTTGCTCCTTATAACCTGAACAATATTCTGTCATTACTTAATAATTCGTTTAACCTCTTCAAAATATGATCATCTATAGTTATATCCCTCTATATGAGGGATATCTGTGTTGTATTTGTATTTTATTTTAGTTTATAATATCTCATATTGTATTACACATGTCAGTTATGGGAAGGGTGGAAGACAGCCTCCGGCTAACCCGATCCCCTTTGTGTCTAAAATGTATTTTTTATGCACAATAAATGTATTATTATTGTTATTATTATTATTATACGAAATACCGTGTTTCATCTACTCCAGATCTAACTACCAGACCAACAGACGAGTCTCCAAAAGAGCCTGTGAACATGAGCTAGCTGTCCGTAAATCACGTCCAGCCTCATTCCTCTTCAAGCGCCAATTTGGAACAAGCCACACAAACCTTTTTTTAGGTTCAGTTATTGGGTCAGGAGTTGGAGAGTTGAGAAACTCTCGCTCTTGATCTAAATCTACAGGGAAGTCAGTTGGAGTCGTAAGCTCGGCATCCATCTCCTCTGTAGACTCGCTCCTGATCTAAATTTACAGGAAGGTCAGTTGGAGTTGTAAGCTCGACATCCATCTTCTCTGTAGACTCAGCGTCAGATTTTTTTAAAGTTTACTCTGTCTATAAAAGTCCCACGAGTAGCTAGAGAAAGAAGGTCAATCACGACAGAGCCCCGCATTACCGTGACAAGGCGATACTACGACGAGAGGGCACCCGGTATTTCGAAGGTTCTGTAGAGACAGCTCATAGGCTGGATACACACACCTTAGGATTAAGCCATCGTTGGGGTGCCATTCAGTTAGGGAATAACAGAACCACAAGTGATTCTGTCATTCCCGTATCCAGCAGGACTACGTGGAAGCAGGCATCCTATGGCCGGTTTGCTCAATCCCCATATCCCAAGCCAGTGCACTCGCCAAAAACGGCATGCACAGTGGTTCAGGCAGTGAAAGATGAACAAGGACAGCCAACCCGCTCTACGACCAGACTATCTGACGAGTCTCCAACGGAGCCTATGAACATGAGCTAGATGTCCGTAAATCACATCCATCCTCTTTCCTCTCCAAACATCAATTTGAAACAGACCACACAATAAGCTTCGAAAACACCAAAAGCATCGCCAGTGAAAAAACGCACTAACTGAGTTACCACATACGTGGAGATCATTACTGAACACCCGCACATCTTGCAACATTTCATACCACGCTGCAGCTGCAGCAAGTCACAACCTCCTTCCTACTACCGACCTCACTATCATTCCCAATAACTGTCCGTCCCACTACCCTCCAAAGAGATAAATATCGGATGACTGAGGAGAGGACCGTCAGTCCTTGCCCGAGAGTAAACAAATTGAGACCAAAACAAGCACTTTTCCCAAACACCAGAACTACGAGACCTGGGAGTAGGTAGTACGAGACCTTGGTTCAGCCATACTATCCCATTCCAGTTCTGGAAAATCAATCCCCTGTACCACATTCTAACAGTTTTTGAGGTACTTCATTTCTTCAGAGGATATTTTGCTTTTTTTGCAAAACTAAAATACAAGCTACTACTTCATATTTTTCCTACTGTTAGTTTATTATATCCTGGTGCTTTCCCATTAACCTTTATCATGGTCCCCTTTTGTTTTTTCTTGTTCTGCGCCTCGAATTTAGATACAAAAAAGCTCAAAGAACCGAGCGAGACTCGGACTGATTATATGTATATTTATTTTCGCGTGGGATTCCGCTTAGTTTTATTTAGCTCTCGCGCTATTTTGTAATCCACTTTTCGATTGCTTGTGAAATATAATAATCAACAGATCTTGAAGTCACACTCCATGATGCTGGCCTGTTTCCAAAGATTATTTTTAATATGTTTTCTCGGTGAGATGTAAATACACTCTGTGACACATTAATTTTTTTTTTATTTCATCTTCCCATCGAAATGTTGGCGTTTCCTAGTTTTATCTTATTTTCCGTTCTCGGATTGGTCGAATCATGTTTGGGTCCAAAAGCATTACATTCACGATCCTATACTAACTTTTGAACTATATTTTGAACTTTCCCTTCATAAACAACCCAGATTTGCAAAGTATTAGTTTTTTCAAAAGTTTTGTTCGTTATTATGAGTCGTCTTCAAATTGTAATACAGTGCATTTCTTTAATGTCCCCCCCTTTTATGGCAACTGGGCGCCATCTTGAAAGTACATTGACATTGAAATTAACATTTAACTACATAATTTTAGGTAATAAGCTTGAGGTCAGTTCAGAAGATGCTCGAAATGGTTGCCTTGAACTTCTTGACATATGAACAGCCTATCAGATATTTCACGCCGAACATTTTCGAACACAGTAACGTCAATATCTCTACAAATATTATTATTCTCTGCCGTATATCCAATATTGAAGCAGTTCCAGTTTCGTATACCTTTTTCTTAAAATAGCCCTATAAAAAAGTTCAAAGGTGTCAAATCTGGCGAGCGGGCTGGCCATTCTGTAAGACCTCGACGGCCAATCCAACGACCGGAAAAAGTAGTATACAAATAGTTTCTTACTTGTCTGGAGTAATGTGGTGGTGTGTAATTCCGTTATTTTCATTAAAAATATTTACGCGGCACTTCATTGTTGAAATCATAAAATAAATATTCTCATGGCTATATCTGTTGATATAAGGTGTTTTTTGTGACTGTTAGCTGTGTGACTTTTCGAATTTTTAAGTTGTCATAACTTTGTTAATAATGAATATTTTTTCATGAAATTTTGGTCACACCTATTTAGAAGCACTCTGAATCCAGTGGCGTAGTGATTTTTTCAATAAAAAAATCGCTAATGAAAAATCCCGATTTTCGACTAAGAAAAAATATCGTAGTATGCCCTGAAACTTTAATAAACATTTAAAAATTTGTCCCAAGGTAGACCTTTTAGTACTTGACATAAAAAAAATATTAAAATCGATTTACAACTTCAAATTTTAGGGGGGTGTTTCCATTAAAAATGGGTCACACTGTATATAGGTGTTTGCGATTTTGTGACAGAGTTGTTGCCACCTCATCCAATGTCATAAATTCAACCTACTTTGGTGACTTTTCGGACAGCTGTCTTGAAAAGAATGCTCCATTGGATGTTCTTCCACGGTCGCGGACTATGGGACCATGCAGAGAGAGGAAGAGAGAAATACATTTTTTTCATTTCGGACTTTCACTGTCGAATATAATATAAATTGATTTGAAATCCCTGAAAGAACCTGTAAAAAATTAAAAAGATTAATCGAAAACCAGATTCTTTCAGGGATTTCAAATCAATCTATTATATATTAGACAATAGAAGTCAGAACTGATGATCTATACCACGAAACATTGTCAACCACCTTCAAACAAAAGAGAGAAATACGTTTATTGCCCTAAGAAAAAATTTCTGTTGACAAACGTTTTTGAACTCTCTTAAAATTGTATAAAAGTAGTACCTAAAATATTATCTATATAAAATAGAATGTCATACACATCAATACAGAGCAAATGAATGCTATACAAATAATTTTTTTTTAATATATGTTATATTATAGCGAGGAACTATAAGTAAAATTTAGCTATGACAACTTGCTGTTAGATGGTAGAAAGAGAAGAAACGACTTGCACTAAATTTCTTGGTCTGCATATTGACAATAAGTTAAAATTTAAAAAACCTATCACATCTTTATGCACAAAATTGGCTTCAGTATCATTTACTGTCAGAAGTGTCTCCAATGAACTTGATATATTCACTGCTGGATCGACTTACTTTGCCCTAGTAGAGGCTCATCTAAGGTATGGCATTGCATTTTGGGGATTCTGTAGTAAACAACTATTGAATCAGGTCTTTGTGTTGCAAAAGAAATCTTTGCGGTTTTTATGTGGGGCAAACCATAGGGATAGTTGTAGACAACTTTTCGTTAAATACCGAATCCTCACTCTATTCAGCATCTTTATTCTCGAAGTTGTTTGCCTGATTCATAAAAGATATAACGCTGATTCTCCAGATACATATAGAATCCACAACACAAGACAGAACAGTAGTAATAAATCCATATGCCAATACCCAGATTGACTCTAACAAAACACTCTAATATGTACGAAGCGAAAAAAATGTTCAACCATTTACCACAGGTAGTTAGCGATATAATAGAGCAGAGACATTTCAGGGAGTCAGTCAAAAATATACTGCTCATGAAAGCTTATTATAGCCTGCAGGAATATTATGATGACAAATTGTAAATATTCTCAGTGTTCTGCCAAGATAAGTTTAACAATAATATATATTAATGATCATGTTTTTATCATTGGCACTGCAATATCTTATATGTGCATCTACAAAGGCAAAGTAAGCAGATCTTGCTAAGGTTCTACCTAGTTCTCTTGAAACTGACTTGACTTAGCTCAATAATATTATCCTCTAATTTAAGTTGATTGTCCTAAGAATTTAGAGGACAATTTTACCTCGAGAATGTTGTTATTCAATCTAAGCTGTGGAGTTCACATTTGATGCTGTTTTATCGAAGTTTGAAGAACGCTTGTTTTGAGTCACACCAGCTCTTTATCTTTTCCATGTCTTCAATGGTATCTTGAGCTAGTTTTGTGGGATGTTTTCCCTGCCATAGCAACGTGGTGTCATCTGCAGATCCATATGGCTTCGCAGGCACCATCTAGCACCGTTCTGTTGTGTAGTATAACTGTGGAATAGACAATTTCGGATGCAAACTCTCATAGAGATTCTTATGTTTTCGGGTCTTAACATCAAGTAAACGCAGGTCCTTCCTCATTCTTTCAATACACCAAAGCAGTAAAGTAAGATCGGAATGGCAAACATATTTGCAGCAACTTTGTTTTTCTGAGCGTTCTGAGGACGAGATCTGTTGTTGGAGAAAGTTCTTTACAGAGGTTTTCTCTCATGAGTCGCTTTGTTCCACCCCGAGGTAAGTATACGTCTCTCTGGCATCCAGATGGCGCAGAATGCTTCCATCCAGAAGCTGCACATACTGGGTGTAATTACCGCAACATCCTCTTTTGAGATGAACTCTCCCACCACTCTAAAGGATTGATTATTTTATTACTATTTGATATTATTACGTGTCAATCAATGTTATGTTGAATAAACTCAGCGGAGTCTTTGTCCTGATCCGTAATTCAGTAGTCCAATATGCATTTTTTTTTCAGAGACAGGTTGGCGAGCTGAATTCAAGCCGGCAAACCATCCAGTGTCTCTGTACGAATTTGATGTGATAATCGGAGCGGACGGCAAAAGGAACACTCTACAGGGTTTTTCTCGTAAGGAATTCAGAGGCAAACTTGCTATTGCGATAACTGCCAATTTTATAAATAAGAAGACCGAAGCAGAGGCTCGCGTCGAAGAAATCAGTGGTGTTGCTTTCATATTCAATCAGAAATTTTTTAAGGATTTGCTCGCGGAGACGAGAATAGATTTGGAGAATATAGTTTATTACAAAGATGATACTCATTATTTCGTTATGACTGCTAAGAAAGCTAGTTTGATTGAGAAGGGGGTGATAAAGCAGGTTAGTTGAGCTTCATTCATTTTATTTATTTAGCTTCCATGATTATCTTCCTAGGATTTAGCGGATACTGAGAGACTTCTAGCACCGGAGAACGTAGACAGAGAGGCCTTGCAGCAGTACGCTATTGAAGCTGCTAATTTCAGTACGAATTATCAAATGCCTAATTTAGAATTTGCAGTAAATCATTATGGCCAGCCAGATATTGCGATGTTCGATTTTACTTCCATGTATGCAGCAGAGAACGCTTCTAAAGTACTCGAACGAAACGGCCATCGATTACTTATGATATTAGTGGGGGACAGCTTACTAGAGGTAAGAATTTCAAATGAGCAACTTAGTCTCTAGAGGTGTTAACTTGATTATTATTTGGCATCAAATCAGTTCGATAAAGTAGGATGGATAACTAGGGTTATAATGAATTGATTACATCAGTAATATGGAACGCCGTTTTACTTTTTATTGTCACAAATATTCATTCAACTAACAATTTATTTGTTTGAATTTAATTGATTCATGCATTTGTTCGACACATTAAAAACGATTGTTCGCAAAATGTGTTCTGTTTTAAATGACACTTGATTCAAAATTAATTAATTTGTTTGATAAAAAGTTGCGAACAGTTATAATATAGATTCATTGTTTGAAATTTTTGGAAGTAAATGTTTGTCATATATACTTTTTTTGTAACTATCGAATAATTTACTACAATTTCTGTGAAACATGATAATTATAGTTACATGAATTAAAACGATTGTTGATAATTTTGATTCGGCGCTAGTGTCGAGCGGTTTTTTGCAGAAACTGAATTTTTAAATCTGGCAACATGATAGTCTAGTAATAGTAACACAATATTCCGTCCGACCGCAGCGCCGAATAAAAATGTTCAACAATCAATTTATTTCATGTATCACCTAAAAGCAACAGTCAAAACAATTTATTTTCACAAAATACCAATAGAAAGTAAAACGGCGTGCCACGCCGTTTTACTTTTTATTAATATTCCTTTGAAATGAGCTGAATTATTTTGTTTGTTGAATTTCAGTGATACATGAATTAAATTGATGGTTGATAATTTTTATTGGGCGCCACGGTTGAACGGCGTTTTGTCGTACTATAAATGAACTAGCATGTTGCCATATGTAAGTAACACTTGAAGTTCTTGATAAATCCGCTCGATACCAGCGCCGAATTGAAATTATCAACAATCCTTTTAAGTGTATCTTTCAAATACAACAAACTTTTCAAATCATCAAAAAATGTAATTCTTTGTCACAAATTAGCTTTTTAAAAATATTGATGAAATAAAATGATGCTTGCTTGAGAATGTTTTGCACAAAAGTTGTAACCAAATTTTAAATAGAATGCATTAAAGTGAATGTTGGAAATATTTTACACTTTCAATAAAATTGAAATATAACAATCTTTATTATTCATAGAAAAATATTTAGTATGGAAAGTTAATTTGCTATATTTTCAGACAAACGAAAGTCTATTTTTATTACCAACAATGTTTCATGGGAAAACTTTGACAGTCATTCAAATATATTCATTAAAATTTTATTCCCAAACTTACTTTTAGAAAGTGAATTTAAAGTTTCATTATAATTCAACAGTCATATAAATAACTAACATTTTATTCAAAGGTCAAAACTATATGCGAAATTGAAACGTTTGTTGAATTTACTCGAATAATACATTCCATTGACTGATGAATAAAAATGTTTGTTCATTGCTGAGTTTATTTTTCAGCATAATATATAGTAAATTGGCGTTCCATTTTCTAATACTCTGAAACAATATTTTTCTTCGGAATCAATAAAAGCTTCAAGTTATTTCATTAGTCTTTTTTATTCAATAACAATTTTATTCATGTAACATTTCAAATCAAGTGACATTTAAAATAGAACAAATTTATCGAATAATCGTTTCTAATGTGTCCAACAAATGCATTAATCAATTAAATTCAAACAAATAAATTGTTAGTTGAATAAATTGAGGAATGAATATTTGTGACAATAAAAAGTAAAACGGCGTTCC